AAAAAAAAAAAAAAAAGAGGCCAAGGACCACACCCGCCGTGATTGCCGGTAGCAGCAGCCAATGGTTGTCCTGACAGGACAGGCCACCTACCCCACCCATCCCCACGTTAAACCACCAGTTCACACGGAGGTAAATTGACGAACCAGAAGTTGCACGGTTCCGAGCCTGCCTGGTACAGTAACAGGCTGCAAAGAAAAATATTGGGGTACTGGTACCAGCCTACCTGGAAACTCATGTGTTGTACCTCGTGCCAGCAGATGGCATTGAACAGACGAGCAAAAAAAAAAAAAAAAAAACTCAATCCAGATCAATACTGAATAAAGGCCTTTGGCCTTTCATGAAAGATATGGGGGAAGTCATATGCACAGGGGATACTCACAATGGTACTGTCCAGAATGTATCTGACCACTATCACGGCCTAATCAGTCCTTTTTTCTTTTCCCCCTTCTTGTACTGGTATTTGCTTGCAGTTAACCTTTGAAATCTGGTGAGTACTGCAGCCAAAACCTGAGAAATCTGCCCCCACATCCCCCAACCCCCCAAAATCTGCCCCCACATCCCCCATCCCTCATCCCCCACCGCCCCCAGTTGCGTGTTTTTGTGTGTTTGTGTGTTTGTGTGTGTGTGTGTGTTTGTGTGTGTGTGTGTGTGTGTGTGTGTTTGTGTGTGTGTGTGTTTGTGTGTGTTGTGTGTCTGTGTGTGTGTGTTTATGTGTTTGTGTGTTGTGTGTGTTGTCTCTTTGACTGTGTCTGTGTCTGTGTCTGTGCCTGTGTGCGTCTTTTCTTCCTTTTGTTTTTTTGTTTTTTATGATTTTGAATTTTTTAAAAATACACGAAGTTAAAAAAAATAAAAAATAAAAAAAATTGGTGTGCATCTTTGAAAGATCTACAAGACTACAACCCTTTTTTTTTTGTGTGTGTTTTTTTGTTGTTTTAGCCCTTAAAAAATCTCTGTGAAACCCAAAAAAAAAACACTCATTTCATTTTATTATTATTTTTTTTCAGTGTTTATGTTTTTGATTTTTTTTTAAATACATTCAAACATCAAAAAATAAAAATAAAAATATGGGGTTGTAGTCCTCGAAAAGACCTACAACCCCATTTTTTTATTTTTATTTTTGGATTCTGTTTAGCCCAGAAAAAAAATCATCGCAGGCCCCGTTCATTCGCGTCCAACGCGCGTTTGAACGGGAATTGAACGCAAATTCAACGCGCGTTCAATTTTTCAACACGGAACCTGCGTTGAATCCATTTTCGGACACACAGATGATTGTGTTGTTGTTTTTTTGTTTTTCTTTTTTGGTGGTTGGGGGGGGGTAGGGAACGCATGCTCCCTTCTATACGTGGGGAGCAATTGTGTTGGTATTTGCTTGCAGTTAACCTTTGAAGGTTCAAACCACCACTACCTCCCAGCCCCTTTTCGCCAAGGCAGAAGAAAAGAGCTGCGCACCAAGCTTCGTCAAAGCACCAGTACGGCTTTTTCTTCTCGATCTGGCTGGAGCCGCCGGCCATTGTGATCCGGTGGTGTACCTGGCTTCCGAAGAATCCGGTATATATAGGTTATACCGCATTCTTAAGAGGTTGAGTTCGCCGGTGGAAGGAGTGGTGGTTTAAGCCTTTAAATCCGCCGAAATGTACGTTTTTTATGCTCCCCTTTCAGGAACATACAACCCCCCCACCCAACACTCTGTAAACACGGTTCAAGGTCTGACGAGTCGGTCCAGTCGGACCCCTCTTTAGCCATGCCGTGGGTGTGAAGCATAGAGAGCGCTGAGATATCAGAGAACGACGAGCCAGCAGAAAAGAGGACCTGGGTGAGACGTGTGAACTCAGTGATCTTCCACTGTAAGAACCAAGCCACCAAAGGTTTCAGCATCCAGCATGTGGCCTGCGAAACCCCTATGGCATATCTGATGTCCTTGGACGAGTTCCAAGTGAGAACAAAACCCCTAAGGCAAATCCACAGCCTCCTATGCTGGTGTCTTGTTTCACAGCTAAACAGTCGCAAAAGGCTGGGGAGCAGACGGGTTATGTCTAGCTGTGTACGCGTGGGCCTGGAATACTTCCACAGCTGCCACACAGAATAGCAAACAAGAGAGAGGAAGGGTGCAGGATGACTGAAAGAGCGAAAAACTAGGTGAAAGCTATGAGTAGAGGTGAGAGCAAAAGGAGGTAGCGGGCATGAGGCAGAGCACTCAAAGAATAGACAGATGGGGGCATGTTTGTGTGTGTGTGTGTGTGATAAAAAGTATATTACAAACCCCAGCTGTCAACTACACACCAAGACAGGGTTTTCCACAGGGACTAGACTCGACATGACCTCCCTAAGATGCGTTCCAATGCTTCACGGTCGAGTGCCCGTACAAGCAAAAGACGAGTATCCACAACATAGACACTGAAGATACAACGGCTGGAAGGGACGGGGGAGGCAGGAGGGCAGACCATACACAGGCACACCAAACAACGACGAGTGTCCACAACATAGACAGTAAATATACAATGGCTGGAAGGCACAGGGGAGGTGGGAGGGCAGACCATACACAGGCACACCAAACAAGGGCAAGGCAACAACCAACAAGCAAGAAAATAAAACAAAGTCCCAAACAGCAAACAACCGAACAAATAAAAAACCAATGATGATAGATTGTTTCGTTGGAGTTGCACCGACTCGTCAGGAGGCTGAACCCTCGACAATCCGCGGAGACTTCGTACTGGATGGTTTTGGGTCATGAACCCTTTAACCCTTGTTGAAGGCAGACTGTCCCCAAAAACAAAACATAGCAGCGGGCAGCAACCCTATGGTGCACCTGGCAACACAGTACACGCAACAGGGCTGCACAACGCAAAAAGCGACTGCAAGGAACCAAAAGGCGCAGAGGACAAGCAGTGCAGCAACCACGCCGTGAAGCACAAGGCAACCTCACAGCAGGGGACGACAAGGCTAGCGGTTGAGTAGCACGGCAGCGGAGCAGCGAAGCACAAGGCAACACCAGCAACACGGCCACACCACACAGCGAACACAGCAATTTGCAGAGAACCACATGCAAAGCAAGTGGGACAGGCAGCAAGGCAGTGGCAGAGTGCAGACGAGGCAGTCCACACATCCAGCACGGAGCAAAGCAGCACATCACCTACTCACGTCACGATTGAACACCGCAGACTGTTGGTTCCCACCATCCACTGAGCCAAGGAGAAGGGTTCCACGCGAACAGGGTTTGGACATGGATCAGTCAGCCCTCAGAGGTGTGAAAACCTTTATATCACAGCCGCATTGCGCGCCGCACATCGAAAGGGTGTCGGGTTAATATTCCCGAACCAGGTTGTGGACATAAGCAAGCTCGGGTGATGCCGGCGAAAGCCGTGGTGAGGGTTCTCTGTCCTCCTTGATGCGCCTGTACACCCTCAAACCGAATCAACCGTAGGTAGGGTCCAGCACCCGGCAAAGCACCTCACGTCCTGTGGTGTCCAGTGCGCCCAAGCAGCCTTTGAAAATCTGAGGCTCCATGTACCTCTCGCACCTGGCCGTATTCATAACCGGATCAGGTCGCCTAGGTGAGCAGCCTCTGGTCAAAGGAAGAACGTAGGGGCCTTGCTCCACTAGTCACCACATGCGCAAAAGACAAAATATGACGATGTATCTTTTCCCATATTGTCACAAAAGTTTCGTTCTCTAGGTAAGGGACGTCCACAATATTGGTCAGTGACCTTGGGATAATCAAGAGAAGAAGACCGGATTCGTTATTCGTTACGACGGTCCAGCGAAGATTTGCATGGGCCCCTTCGCAAGGATGCCATGCATAAATCGAGAAGAAATGGCATTGACAACTCTCAAACGAATTTCAACAGTTTAGATCTGAGCAGGTGGAGTGACGAGAACTTTCAAAAATCGCAAAACCGAGAGTCGGTGTAGCTAACCCCACGGTACCTCTCCCCCACATGTGGTGGCCCATCCTACCCTATCCATACAGAAATAAACGCCTCTTGTCCGGGTTACATCATCAGCTGAGAAAGACGAGTTCCGTTTCCCCTCTTCAGGTACCTCAAGGTCAGACTCAATCAGTGCATGAAAGCAAGATTCGGCCAGATCTTTGGTCACATACATAACACAAAACATGACCAGAAGTCTTCTTTTTGAAAGGAAAAAAAGGGTGACGGCGTCGAGATATAATCATGAAACCAACAGGCCCCAGGCCATTCAGGAAATTCATTTGACTAGTTCCATCTCAATACCACAATGTATGTCATCAAGAAAAAGATATGATGAAGGCACTTCAGTCCATTCGATTCCGTTGAGATTTCTTCACTAGTGACTTTGAAACCAACTAACCCCACACAACGAGCTTCACTCCAATAGACAACATGATAAATGCATGCGGTCCTGATCAAGGTCCGGTTCGTTCAATCAGTCCATATTGATCCAGTCTGTGCAACAGTCCAGATACTTCTTGAATGCTAGTAGCGGAGGGAGGCCCAGTTGTTTTCACTTGCAATATGTGATCATTGAGGGATATCAGATTGACATTCAGTATGGACCTGAAGAATAAAGACACTGGATGGTGTCAGTCGGGACATCCGTTAAAATTGGAACGATATAGAGAAAGAAGATTAGCATGGCCCCTGCGTAAGGATGACACGCATAAATCGAGAAATGGTCCTGATAAACAAACAAACAAAAAAAGACACTGGATGGACCACGAAGTCTTAGAGGACACAGACAGGAAGAAGAACATAAAAAAGTTCCGGCAGGAGAGGCTGAGAGCTATCAGGCCAAACAACACGCAGAAGCACAAGTAAGGGAAGCATTACATTATCCTTTATTTTTGTCATCAAATGAATACAAATTAAATGTCGGCTTGCACTATCAATTTACAGAAAGTGCATGAGTTCACTGCTCGCCCGCCGATACACATCAGTGAAGTGACAGGTTCTTCGACCTTCACAATTACGCAACTCACGCACAGGAACACCCATCACAGGCTGAAAGAGGAATTCATTGTACACGATTCCAGTACTCTCTGGCATATCAGCACCCCCCCCCCCCCCCCCCCCCCACTCCCCGGTTCTCTCTCTCTCTCTCTCTCTCTCTCTCTCTCTCTCTCTCTAACTCTCTTAGACACCCACACAAACAGTGGACACCTTGCCAAACCCTCATTTCTTCAAAATCCCTCCAAATGGACCCCGCCAAACCCTGATTTCTCCAGAGCCCTCAAAACGGACCCTTGGAGTCTACCTTGTTACACAGGAGCAACTGGTACCAGAGTCCCCACTTGCCACAGCTACGATCTACACAAATACCCAACCCATCTGCAGTCAGTCTATGACACAGCAACGGTCGTTTTCGTAACCATCCACACACTATTGCTGCAGCATTCAGGCACCCATAACACTGATGCCTTTAAAACAAATCTATCAAAGTCCTGAGCAGTTTTAGCTGCCAGTACTCGAGAATACGTAAAACGGTACCAAGTTTCCACCACCATTCGTTTCATGGCTTTGCAAGGTGCGAGGAAAAAGAAACCACCTTGAAACTTCTACCTCATCAAGCTGTCCCTCCTCCTGACATAAACTCTGTCCACTCCATTCCTCCCGACATGAACTCTGTCCACTCTTCACCATCGTCATCCTCCCATTCATCCACCTTCAGCAGTCGCTGTTGATCCTCCTTGACATGCACCTCTTTTACGTGTCCATTCAGAAGGGGGCCTTTTCTATTTCCTTCACTTGCCTCCCGTCTACGCTCCAAAAACGTTCCAACGGCGTCTCCCAAAAATATGCCGACGGCTTCTCCCAGATCTCCACCCTGCCAGTTCGGTGTCACCCGTTTCTGACTCGAGGGTGTCGGAACCAATCCACGACTAACTAAATCAGTTGCAGCAAGGCCATTCCACGGGCCCCACTCTTGCTCGCTCTCTATATCATCCGCCCACCCGTTGGCCGATGTGGCAGAGTCATATGTTCTCAAGCTCGTTTCATTAGCAGCACAAGTCGGAAACACTGAACCATTTCTCATTGGGGCACAACCATTCTCAAAGGCCACTCCCATCCTTTCCTTGTCACTTGGCCATGAAGCAACGGTCCACGAATCTGGCTCATCAACTTTTCCCGTCCCTTTGGGAGCCTGCGCATGACTGAGCCCGCCGTGCGGTAAGCGTGAGACAAAGACCTGGTTGCTTCCTTGACTAGCTGCTGCTGCCAATGCATCAAATCCTGCAGTCAGAATGTTCGGACCCCTCTTCTCCGTATGCCCTAGTCCTCCAGCTGTGCCGACACCTGTCAGCAGGTCATTCTCGAGGTCCAACCCTTCAACCGAACCAACGCCACCTGCCCACCCGTTTTGTAGCTCCCCTGACCCAAATCCTGCCTTACCTGCACTCCCTGTTTCCTTCACTGCAAGAGGTCCAGCGATCCTGATCTCATCAGATCCCATCACGCGACCAGATGCAAACGCGGCAACTTCCGATGTGCTCTCAGTACTAGATGCTGAAAGTGTTTTGATGCCAGCCACTGGAACAATCACATTCGTCTCGTCAGCACAGGCCGATACTCCAGCTGCACCCATCGACACTGCAGCGGCTGCATCAGGTTCCTCCTCTTGAGGCGTCCTGACTCTAAGACCTGGTCCCCCCAGACACGGGAGGACCTTCCACGGATCTTTAAAATCCATTACCCTCGCTTGTAGATTCCCATCATTGCTATTGCTGCGGTGAGTGACAACGCCATGTACGGCACCAGATCCAATGCTATCCCTTCCTCCCGAACTCGAAATTGCGAACTGCTCAAATGCAGCTACCGAGGCACTTCCCTCTTCAGTACGCTCCGGCTTGTCAGTTGTCACAACACTCCGTGCAGCTCCGGAGCCAATACTATCCCTTCTATCCCTTCTCTCAGGACTGAAGATTGCAAATTTCTCACATGAAGCGAACGAACCATGTGCACCTCCCTCTCCCATGATACACTCTGATTTCCATGCTGCTTTTCCCTGGGCGGTGTCCTCTTTGGTTTGTGATCTGCCCCCACTGATCCTCCTTTCCTCTGGCCATGGACCATTAACACGGTCCACCAAACCTGCTACCTTCTCTTTGCAGAGCCCTACACAACCGGGTTCACCCAACAGCATAACCCCACCCCCTGCCAGACTTCCATCTCTGCTACCCGATGTAGGAATGGATAACTTCTCAAGCCCAGCAATCAGAATGCCGGCTCCACCCTTCCCATTTTGACATGATGACTTTGAATCTGTTCCACTCGCGAGATTGTCTGCAGTTCGCACTCTTCCAACAACTCCCACCCCATCCCCTCTCGGATCGAAGTCCAAATCCCAACCTCGATCAGCATCCCGAGGAGTTCCAGAATCGTTGGGCCAATCCCTGTCCTCAGAATCTCTGGAATGTGTCATTATCAGCCCCATGCTGCCAATCGGCTCATCCTCAGGAAGTCTCTCATCCACAGGAAATGATGGAGTGGATCTTGTCCTGCTCCAGCTCCTCCTCCAACCCATGCCCCGGGAATTGGTTTCCCCCAAGTCCGCCAATGCAGTAGTTGCTCTCATCGGTACCCTGCGCGGACTTGACAAGCCTCTTCCCGACGGTGAAGCTGCTCCTCCCGTCGCATTCGAGAGCGGATCACCCCGACCATCCTCAGCGATACTTTGCGGCCAGCGGTTTCCAAGCCAATTGAGAGGCTCAACCTGGTCCCTATTGCCAGGGGATTGGGGAGGGAGTAGCTTAGGACTCCTGATAACCTGGTTGGCATCGTCTCCAGCAGCTGGGCCTCGAAGACTTGCACTGTTCCTTTCTCCGTCCTTCGGCCCCAACCTTAGTCTCGGGGAATTCACAAAAGGTAGATCGATCGGATCTTGGAACGAAGAACGCTGAAGGGCAGGGGGTGGGACAGGTGGCGGCAAAGGCGCAACGCGATCTGTACCAGCCCAGTGGCGGCTGAACATTGATCCAAACCCTTCCTTCCCATGCAGGATCGGTGGGTCGAAGACCTTCTTCATTCCCACCATGAAATCTGATGCCCTTCGCCACGACTTCGCTGACTGGAAACCCTCCTGGGGATCGAGGATCTTACCATCAAATCTCTCCGTCATGTGAGGCAAATCCACCTCTGGGAAATCTAGATGCACCTTCGGTGATGCAATCTTCGGCTCAGGCGAAACAAGGACCTCTGCACCATTCTCCCCAGATTGTGAACGTGGTGTCGACCGCAGAATTTTGAGCGACGCTTCTCGTTCAAGGGTTGGGAACAGCGCATCGAACCTGGCAGCTTTCTCGGCCGGTGACAATGGCACCTGTCGAGTAGTATTCACACTTAAAGCAGTCTGTTGATCAGACCTTACCACTGAATCGACGCTGTGCTGAGTGGGCGACCTGACATCTAGATCATGCAAGTCACGGAGGAAGTCCTTGCAGCCACCGTTGGCCATCCTGTGCTTTTTCCTGCTGATGCCATTCACAGCAGGAACTGTGGAGGCGTGTGTAGCTACAACTCCATTTGTGTCCGCAAATCTGGTCACACATCCAGCCAAATTTTTTGCAAACATTATCATTTTAGAAACTGCTGCCATTGCCGCTTTTGTGCTCTACCAACTGATCTAGGTCACAGGAGGTTGTAGGTTTGATTCCCCACGGTCTTCATTCGAGCCCCCACAGCCTCCTGCAGCTCGTTACAGGTTCACCAGATGAGAAAGTTGGCTTCCCCCCCCCAACGGTACGGCTCGGTAGGGTCTTCCTTCCCCTCCCACCCATTACCCGAGGTTAGGAAGAAACTACGGCACTTAGACACGGGAAGAGGTCGGTGACAACCCATAACTCTTAGGGCACCCCAGCTCGTGCACATAGATATCGTTCTGCTACAACAATGGATACTCGAAGCTGGACTTGGAAAGGTTAGGCAGAGTGAGGTATATGAGTGAAGAATATAGCCAAGTTAGAAAAAAAAGAAAAAACAAATTTATGCCATTACGCAATGCTCCATCAAAGCATATCACACTTGCAAGCGCACGTCGTGCGGGAGGTTCCCTACGTGCGTCGCACGCGCCCAACCGATCCCGTGCAGCGCACAACGTGTGCGGAGAAAGACTCGTCACCCCCCTCAGAAAAAAAAAAAGGCCGGGGTCGAAACAGTGCATTAGAGCCCCCCGCCAAAATTATAAGCGAGATGAAAAAAAAAAATACAGGAGTACTGCCTCACATTGCTCTTCCTCCCTTCCTGATCCTCCACGCCTCCTCCTCCCTTCTCCTTTTCGTCTCCTCCTCCTCCTCCTCCTCCTCCTCCTGTTCGTCCTCCTCCTGCCCTTCCTCATCCTCCTTATCTCCTCGTACTTCCTCATCTTCCATGCCTCCTCGTCTCCTTCACTTCCTCGTGTCCTCCCCTTCCTCATGTCCTCCCCTTCCTCGCCGTGCATGTCTCCTCCTCCCACTCGTCCTCCTCCAGCCCTTCCTCTTTTCCCTCCGTCCATCTCTTCTCCTCCCCCATCTCAACACATCCTCCTCGTCGTCCTCGCTATCCTTGCGGTCCTCCTCGTCCACATCCTCCTCCTCCTCTCCATATCCCCCTCTCCTCGCCGTATCCCCATCTTCCTGTCATACGTTCCCCCGTCCCCCCTCCCAAAAAAAGATAAAATAATAATAAGATAAAATAATAATAATAAAAATAAAAAACCTGCACGATTCCGCACAGGCACCCCCCGCACCGAGCTCCACACGAATGTGCGGCTCGTGCGGTTTCAAGTATGAAGCATATATTTGAATTCAGCTCCAAGGGCCTTGCCGCACCACTGGCCAAATGTGCAAAACGATAATAGAATTTTCCACGAGAATGGAAAGGTACACAGCCGTAATTTTTGTCGTCTATGTATTTGGTGAGTGGTGCAGCGAGGGCCCAATACACCGATAACGAACTTCAGTTTGCTACTGGTGCAATTACCCCATACACTGTTTATGCTCGTCGACCTTTACAACCATTATCTCCTTGTGTCTATGCTCTGTCTTTACTTGTAAGGTCCGATTATCCCCTTATGCCATGACTTCTCACACTCTGTTCCTTTTTTAAATTCATTGCCATGTAGACACACGAAGTCAATTACCATTTTTTTTTACTCTTGAAATGTAAATCGTATCAGGTCCTAATGGCCCTGGCTCCATTTCCGTCCTGCCCGCTAGGGAGGAGCATCTGTCCAGTTTCTTTCCACCGGCAAGTCAAAAATACACCCTCACGCTTCCTTCCGTTTGGCTGAAGGGCCCCTGACAGCACTGAATCTACTCCTTGGAGGATTGACAGTAAGCTTGCAATTCCCTTTCTCACCCCTCTCAGACCCTTGCCTGAGTCTGTCAGATAGAGCGATATACATATCCTCAAACAGAACTGCCGGGTAAACCCTAGGCAGAGAGGGAGAAAAGGACAACAAACGAGGGGCTGTGACAACCTGTATGCAACAAGAGTGATTCATACGGGTCCTCAAGCATCCTGATCGATTTGTCTTCGAACTGATCTGGAGCAAATTAGCGATTTCATAAAACCCCACTTTGTCCCAAATTCTCACACCATATTTTGTGAGTTTAGTTGGCGTTTAGTTGGCGTTTATATATACTATATCGACATATGATGACTGTGACAAACTGTATGCAAAAAGAGTGATTCAGACGGGAACTCCCGACTCCTGATCGATTTCCCTTCGAGCTGATCTGGAGCAAATTACCGATTTTATAAAACCCCACTTCGTCCCAAATTGTCACACTATATTTTGCGAGTTTAGTTGCCGTACATATACTATATTATCTATACACTATATAGACATCCGATTAAATAATTCACAGAATAGACTTTTTCCTTCTAGTAAAGTAAGCAGGAGACAGCACTCGGGAGGTCTTTCACATTTCCCCACAACCGGTCAACTCACCTCATGGGAGCATCCATCGCATCCAGGGCATGATCCGAAGGGGAGGAGGTGGTCCCATTCCCGTTGCTGTCCTGCTTAGCGTTCAGGACAAAATTACCAGGCATCCGTAAATCCTCAACTGCATCTGCGCCAGAACTGGAGGATGTGCCATTCACATGACCACTCTCCGGCCATTCCGGTGTTGACATTCGATTCAGAGGGGAGGAGTTGCTCAGACCATCCGTCTCCTGCAAATACAGGCAAATACACGGCAGAAGACGCAAGACAAAAATGGCTGTCAGATGAGGGCGAGGACCCTCACACGCTCGGCACAGCACATGCCTTCCTGCCAAAGCTGGCAGCAGATCAGCACCTTAGCAGTTTACCAAGTAGTTTACAAGACTACGAGAAGTATAACTACCGGTACACCCAGGCCCAGCGGAGAAGTGCGGCTCGCAAAGCTTTGACGAAACTGCCCCCAGCGCACTTTTTTTCTTTTCTGGCTGGCGTCACCAGCAATTGTGGCCTGGAAACCCCTAGCCTCCGGAATTTTAGGTGTAGGCCACGAAGAAATCTTGCCAGGCTGGAGCCGCATACTGGCGGTTTGAAGCAGAATTTCCACTGATGTGCACTATTTCACGACTATAAACGAAGACAAACCAGATTGGCCAAGCCTCCAGAATTTCAGTAGGCCACAAAAGAAATCTTGCCAGGCTGGGGCCATATACTGGCGGTTTAAGCAGAATTTCCACTAGTGTCCACTAGTTCACGACTGTAAACGAAGACAAACCCGATTGCCCATATTTTAAAACTTTCAAAAGCCAATCATATATAGATGTATTGCTGACGGCGACAGCTCTCACCTCACCTGAAAAAAATGTAAGTGATGATACACATCACAACGACATGAAAGCCATGAGGATGCCCAAACAAAGAGACTGGCAATCACATAGTCAAGGCAAAGCGTCAGCACTGCCCTCTTCCCCCAACCACAATGCACCCTGATTATGAATGCACACCCTACCTTTCCAGTTCCATACAGTGATGGGGAAGGCGGATTGCAGTCAGATCGTAGCCTGTCGGACACCAATGTGGTCCACAAAGATGACGATCAAGGTGGCAACAACGACGATTAAAAACAAGGTGGCGCTTGCAAGGATGACAGGCATAATCTCTTTTTTTTTCTTTCTTAAGAACCATGACCATAACAAAGTTGATGATTGAAGACGAGACCTGGACAAGAAGGGAAAGCAGGCACAAGGGGACACGACAACTCAACTGTTGCTCTGTGTCCAGCCTCAACGATGCAATGCAGTTCAATCTTGGCAGCCATATGTTCATATAACATTTTTGTGGTGCATGGGAACATCCGACCAACACAAGCAGCCAAAGGAGGACAATGGCAACTTGTACCGAGTGCATTAATCACTTAACTAGACTTGTAGCAGCTTCGCTAAGTTCACTTGAAAAAAGGACGGAACTCGCTCTTGTTTTTTTTATTTTTTTTCTATTTTTGCAGTAGTTTACCAGCTGTTTCAGGTTTTTCCATGGGAATCCATGACCTCGTCATCATCCCTGAATTTGTGCTGTGTGCAATGACCCGCCCATTTGCAGTCTGAGTACTCTGAACTTGTCTCCTGAGAAATGCTGTTCCGTCGATCTCTATAGTAAAAATTATGATCCTGAGTCTGCCTGCTCTATTTTCTGAGTATGTTTGCGATCCACCAATGTTGTATTTATGCCACGAGTTTTGAGTCCCTCTTCCAATTCCAAGACTGTTTGCTGTGCTTCAGAGTACGTCTGTGATCAACAAATGTTGTATGTATGCCGTGTGCTTGCATGCTCGGATTTCAGTCAGTTCAGTCTCTCTCTTCTGATTCCGAGACTGTTTGCTGCGCTCCAGAGAATATATTGATCAACAAATGTTGTGTATGCTGCGTGCTTGCATACTCGGATCTCTCTCTCTCTCTCTCTCTCTCTCTCTCTCAAGTCATTCCTTATGTATACATTAACGTGTGGAGAATCTCTCTCTCTCTCTCTCTCTCTCACACACACACACACACACAAACAGTTGAGGCGGTGGAGACGAGGGAAGATACAGTGAAAAGGGTGAAATGCCGGAGTCAAATCTGGCGGAGGAGGGAGAACATCAGGCAGAGGGCAAGCCGGTGGCAGCAGCAGAAAGCCATCGGGTAGAGGTTGGGGGGGCTTGGCAGGTGGAAGTTGGGATGAGATCTGACCCAGCAGCGAAGGAGGAAGAGGTTAGAGGAAGGGGGGACGGGAGGAAGGAGAGAGGGAGGGAGGATGAAAGAGGAAGGAGGTCAGGCAGAGGGACGGCAGGACAGGCAGGAAGACGAGGGAGGGGAGGGACGGGGGAGGCAGGGAGGACGAAGGAAGGGAGGGAGTCAAGCGGCTGTCGTGCAGGAGGAGGAAGGAGGGACGGAGGAAGTCAGGCAAGAGGATGGTCAGAGGGAGGACCGAGGTTAGGCAGGCAGAGGGCACAAGGAAGGAGGTGCAGCTACAACAGCGGAGGGAGGGCCGAGGGATGGAGGAGGTTGGGCAGAGGAAGTGGGACTGAAGGAAGTAGGTCAGGTGGAGGGAGGTTCCAGGGATGAAGGTCAGGTGGACCTACGGAGGAGGCTGGATGGAGGGAGGGCTGATTGAGGAAGGAAGTTGGATATCACACATAGGCCGAGCAAGGGGAAGGGGACAACGGATGGAGGGAGTAGGTTGGGCCTGAGGAGGGACGGGGTTGACCATGGAATGAAGAAGAATCAGCAAACGAGAACGAGGGAGAAAGACAGTCAAAGATTCTCTCTCTCTCTCTCTTCTCTCCCCCTTGCAGCGGCGCATAGCAAGTATAGGCCTTGCACGCGGGCCACTGATGACATGTGGCAAATGGCAAGCGACAACATGTGGCGGTGGACGGCTAGCAGCTGGCAGTGCAGAGGTTTACAGACGACGGCAACCATACACGACAAATGATGACACGAGATATGGGCCGTTGGGCCCGAGGTACTGGGCCAACAGCCTGGATTCGCATGCAAGCTTAAGCTCTTAAGTCTTTGCCTCGATCCAGGCGGCTAGCATGGGCAGGTCTGACAGCCCAGATCGATAATTTGTTACATGGACACAACAATCCAAGCCGTCGGTCCGATAGGACCCAACCGCTGGGATGCAAGATTTATTACACTGTCCAGATGATCCAGGCCGTGGGCCATTAGGACCGACGTCAGGCCAGATCATAGATTCTTCAAGATTTTGACCGGACTTTCACAGACTTACCTGGTGCACTTTTCTTCTTCCTTAACAGGAAGTTCAGTCTGCTCGTGGACAAGCAACTCCACATAACCTGGTCGACGGGAGAGTTTGAACTTTGAGCTTTTTTACACATGGTTCTGCTGAAGCCGCTCCACCTCGGTTGATCTTCACTTCCTGACAATCAACATCCAGTATCATCTCTTCCATCTGAAGTACCATCTATTCCTCATTTTTCTTGGTCAGATCTCAAGCCAGGGTACCGCTGAAAGTGTTGTGACCTACTACTACTTCCCTAACAGACACAAGCAGGAATGACAACCATGGGATCCAGAAATAACGGACAATGACCCACACCCTTTCAATCACGTTTCAGACTTCAGTACACTTTCCCATCTTAACCCACCAGTACATTCCCCAGCCAGTTTTCTCCAACGCAGCCGTTAATGCACCACGACATTCATGGCAAGGCCTACTGTAGCTACAGGGCTGGCGACATCAGCCAATAAAGAAAACATGCCGGTTGGTTTTTCATCGGCACGCAGCGCATTTCTAGCCTTGGCAAGTGAAGGGTCATAAGCGCTGGTACTTCAAGAAACCTTACTAACCAGAGAGCAAACCTTAGGACTTTCATCGAGTGTACTGGTACTCAAGTTGGACGGTCCTCACTGTAGCCCTTTTTATTCAGCTGCCAGGGCAAGCAGTGGCAACTCTCTCTCTCTCTCTCTCTCTCTCTCTCTCTCTCTCTCTCTCTCTCTCTCTCTCTCTCACACACACACACACACACACACACACACACACACACACAGACCTCTCCCACACTCGCACCTATACACATTGAATGACGATTTTACGAGTTGGTGTGCAAACCTCAACGTCACATGCAAGTGCAACAGAGACAGAGAGAGCTCCTGCCTGCCTGAGAAAGACAGGGAGAGTGTCATTCACATCCTGTAAATGTTGGCACAGTGTCTCTTCCTCTGTGTGATTGTGTGTACGGTTGCGTGTGTGTACGTGTGGTTGTATCATAAGAGAGCAAAGAGAGTGCATGGAACCCCATGCCAAACTTTGCGTATGTTTCTGTGAGAGGGAGTGAGCTGCATAAAACACAAGCTAACCCTGTGTGTTGCCATGTCCCCAACCAAAAACTGACTTTGCTACAAGCTCCGTCATAATTGCACAGACTTGTTAGGACGTTGGACACCAGGACTGTGGATCTGTGTGCGGAGAGAGAGAGAGAGAGAGAGAGAGAGAGAGAGAGCACAACGGAAATGCTGCAATCTCTCCCCACTCATACACACACATGCTTGAAATCAAAAAACGACTGTGCCACAAATTTCATCAGAATTTCATGGATTCGTTAGGAGATTGGATATCAAGAAAGTGCAGCTGTGCGAGGAGAGAGAGAGAGAGAGAGAGAGAGAGAGAGAGAGAGAGAGAGAGAGAGAGAGAGATGGTGCATACTGGAGACGTCCCATCCTTCATGCAACATCAATCCCAAGCATCATTACCCTCTACACGTACGTGGGTGTGTACATGTGTACGTGGGTGTGTACATGTGTACGTGAGTGTGCTGTGCCATATCTATGCATGTTCATTCGCGTTTGCACAAGTGTGTTCATGCCCCTGAGTGTCCCTGTGCGGTAAAATAACCCCCATTGTTGCTAAAAAAATGATCAAATCCCATGTAACGTTAACGATGGCGGGTAATAGCATTACAGCGGTCAGCAATCAACACATGCGTGCATCTTTGCACACATGCAAGCACTCGTCCATTTGGCTGTGCAAGAGATAGAGACAGAGAGAGAGAGAGAGAGAGAATGCAAGAAGGCCTCCCCCCAATCAAGGGAGTACTCGCAATAGGACTCTGTCAAGGAGGCATCCGAGTAGTCACATACCGTGGCCACTAGGTGCAGTCCGGAGATGGTACCTGGGATTGGGACTTCAGAGATGGTACCTGAAACGTGGATGGATGATCTCCGTCACTATT